GGGATCTATAATTTTAAAATATGCGCTTTTAGAGAGAAAATTAAAAAAATGGATTCCAATATCATTCAAAGTAGTTGCGAAAAAAACTCGAGACGACACTTACATCCCCGTGTGGGTATATATATTGACGTGTGTTTTCACAACTTGTAAATTTTCATTCATAAAACTACAAAAACGGAACTATCTGAGCAATGGAGCACGCCACGTTGACTTCTACGGTAAACTACTATTACAAACAACCGTTGTTGCGTCCGACAGCGCGCTTCCCGCCAGAATGTAGAAACGAGTTCGAAATCAGCAGAATTAGCCTTTATTGCTAACACGTGACTACTTCTTGGGGCAACCCGAACTTTGGTCGAGTTACGCTTCCGTAACACCGTAACATTCTATAATGAAATTCACGAGTTAAGATTTCACAACGACGATTTATTTTTCGAGATTAACTTGTTAAAAAGTGAACAGAATTAAATTACTTTAAAATTCAGATTAAATGTTTATAAATTTATTATCTAAATTTATAAGCATATATGTTTTATATAGCATAACTAACTTTTTAAGTTTAAAAATGTAAAGTTCCATTTCTCTACGCTTCATAACCGAATTTCCCGACTCCCATAGAATCATATTGACTGACCGTTCCGGAGGCCATCGACTCTACAGTCCAGCTCCTATAGTAAACGGGACGCAATATAGATTGTAACACAACGTAAATAAATGAATTTATTTGTTACTGCAGCTATCGGCCTCACTTTCCTTCACCCATATACGACAAATCCTGGCATTTGGATATCACTGATTCGGCGACTTCAATACTGACGAAAATGTGTTACCATTCTTACTTTAATTTGTATTTTTATTCTATAGTCTTATTGTTTTCCATTGAAAATATTATTTTTAAAAATTTACTGTTAAAAAAACTATATGCACTTAAAAAAACATTTAAATAAATTTTGATAAATAAATGTTTTTTCTTATCCATACAAAAATAGCATGAAAAATCCGTGTAAATATTTAGAATTAGAATATTTCAAAGACAAAAAATTTAGCAAACTTTGAATTCATTACACATAAACTAAAAATTAAGAAAATTCTGAATTAACATTATATTGTAGCAATTAGCAATATATAAAAGCTGGCGCCTGGGTGTGTGAATTCTTTATAACTCTTATAATTTTTGTCCAATCCAAATGAAATTTTGGTTATATCGATTCTATGTTCTGACGGAAAGTATTAAACTACTGTGATCGTACTTACTTTGCAGTGACGACGTGACGTTATATAAGCCAACACGGTTAAACCTAGTAAATTAAAGCTATGTTAGAGTAAACTTCCTTACTCTACGACGAAAATCGTTGACAGAGTGATAAACTCTACTGGTTATCGTTCAATCTTGAAATGAATCTACAAATCAGAAAGTATAAAAATCAAAATACATTATAAAATTATACGTAAATAAAAACAAATGATTTTATATCATTAACAAGCGCTAATAATAAAAAATTTTATAAATAATAAATTTAACCAATTCCATTTTAGAAAAACTATTCTAGGAAACACCGTAATTAGCTAAAAGCCAGCACTAAAGACCAATTAAAATCCTATTGTTAAGGGCTCTCCCACAAGTTTACACGGGGCCCTCGGGCGCCCAATTTTCTCTATAAAACCTCGTTCTAACAAAAATTTTTTCCATTTCCAGTTTAGATCTGCTAGGACTGAGACATTCGCTCGCTCTAGTCGTGTGCTTCGTTTAAACTTCGATTTTGGTAAGTGGACCATCTTTAGTTTAAGATTTTAGATTTAGATTATTCGTAGTTTAAGGTGTCACAGCCATCCGTCTAGTAAAAATAGTAATAGTAAAGCTTAGTCTAAATTAGTATAAAGTTAAAAATAATCGTTCGACCACGTGTGAAACCAATGTGTGAAAATAATCGTTCGACTTTACGAACGTACCCGGAGTTTTGGACTGGACCAACACATTACAACACCTCGGGGACCGCGGAACACACGATGACAACGTTGTTTGATATATCACGCGTTTTCGATTATGACAATAAATCATTTATATCGTATTTTCAAAAGTTATTTATGTATTTTATTTAACACTGCTCTGATGCGAAAGACCAAATATAATTAGAAGACGAGAAGAGATATTTTAAACTAATTTAACCCTTCGAACCCTAAACTGGACGAGTCTATTTTCGAAGTTCGAACTAGGTATACAGCAGGAGGTAACGGTTAACACTGAGTAAGCTTATTCAAGTTTAGTTCGCCATTGTTTGCTGTCGGACAACTGAAAGTTTTAGTCAATATTTTTGTTATAAATATTTTGTATATACAGTAGAGCGTCGTCTATCCGAATCAATTGGGGACTGGGGTTGTTCGGATAACCAATTATGTACGAAAAAATATATTAATTTATCCCGTGTTGAAATTTTTCTTTGTTGCGTGTCTCTTCACGTTGAATTTTCGTCGACGTTAAGCCTAACGAAGACTATTGTATCGTTAAAAATTATTTTTTTTATTTTGTACAAACAAAATAAATATATTGAAAAATATAAAACAATAAAAAAAATTATACTTCAGAAGTTAATTTAGTATCGAAAACGTAAAATATTTGAGTAGCCGAAGACATAGCCAAAGATTACAGCGCCACAGCACTGGCGAAAATTTAAATTTGTCGACTGGAATTCTTTCGGATAAACGACGCTCTACTGTAATGATTTCTTGATAAATTTAATCGAAAATTGATTCATACGGTGAGAAAGTACCTGCTATAATTATAAATCAGATAAATTTGGTTGTTGTTCTATATTTAATACGTTTATGAATCTTATAAGGCTTCATTTGAAAAAGATGAATGATAATGAAGTCTGTCCAATGAAAGATTATTTGGCACTTGTGCTGTTTAGTGGTATGGCTATTTGAGAGGTTTTCTTTTTTAAAATTAATGAAATCTAGACTAAATTCTAGACTAATTCGGCATATGAGTAGTCATGTGACCGAATAGCACCCACAAATGTCACGTGACACGCTTCTTATGCGTCTGTCGTCCGATGTGCCGCTTAGCCACAGATACAAGCTTATGCAATGGCGTCTTCGAACGGGGTACACTCGATAAGTATTCCGACAATTTTTTGCTCATGGCATATTTTATATCAATCATTTTCAACAAATTATACGTGTTTTGGGAATATTTGAAAATAACGGCTGTTAACGATCCGAAACATGCACCGTGAATCCACGTGGTCGCGGTCTAAACACAGCCGTTATTCGGCAGATACTCAACCGATTTACATGAATTAAACGTTAAAAACAATCCGGAGACATCAGTAACAGAATACAATACATCAAACCTACGATCTAGCAGAAATATCGTCGATGCGGGTAACCAAAAACAGAGTGAAGTACACAGACATCCAAGGCCCACAACGGCCCTACCCTCAAAATTAAGTTTTTGACTATTTTATAATAGTTAAAAATATAAAAACTTTTAACATAAAATATCGTAGCAAATGGAGCTATCAAATATTGTCGGGAAAGTTAAGCAGCTCGTTGCTGGATTTTTTTACCTTTGAGATAACTATTAAGCATTCAAAAAGGAACCAAAGCAGTTCTTTAAAGATTCACAAAGGGTCAGTCAAGTAATAGCGGTTTTTTTGAAAGTTGAAAAACAAATTTCTTTTTATTTATGTTTAACATAAAATGTATTATTCATTATTTTACGAGCTTACATTTTATTTATAATTTATTCTTAATTTATATCACTATAAAAAGAACGTCTACACTCAAAAGTGGTTTGTGAATCCTTCATTCAGATTAAAGTTGACAGGACTCACTAAAGTTAAGATAAATAGTAATAAGTGTTACTAATAAATTATTATTATTTTTTACAGAAAATAGCTAAAAGTGGACATGGTTTTAAGTGTAGTGTACTCCACGTTCTTCGTCCTTTTCATCAAGATAGCTACAGGTATTCAAATAGACGGAGGATATCAAGTTGCACTGATTGAGGCACTTCATGTACACAACACATCTTACAGAGGCCTTGACTTAACCGATGGTTACCATGGTAATAATAATAGTTACAGATATTCGCCAGCTGTATTGCTAAGAACAGATCTAAGGGAACTTAGATTACCCACCGAAACCTGTAAGAAAGCATTGAGTATACTCTCGCGAAGCAACGAATTCACTCTTATGGCTACTTTGAGGCAAGTACAGAGGAATGCTGGCACGATATTGGCTTTTTCTGAAGGTAATAGCAGGTTTTTAGAATTGAAAAGCAGTGGAATAAAAAATGAAATTAGATTACAATATTACCATAACAACCTGAGCCACTTGGAAACATTTCCTTATCACTTAGCTGATAATAATTGGCATAAGCTTTCAGTAACTGTTAGTGGAAATAATGTTGCCATTTATGTGGACTGCAGTCTTATTTATAACAGAGTTATTAAAGACATTGATAGGAGTTTTACCAATAGGAATGTCACTTTATGGTTGGGACAAAGAAATACCAGGCACTTTTTCAAGGGTTGTTTACAAGATGTTAAAATAATAGGAAGGCCTCATGGATACACATCGCAATGTTCTAATTTTGCAACTGAGTGTCCAAAATGTGGTCAATTCATAGAACTTCAAATTTCAGTAAAAGGATTAGAAAGTCATTTAAAAGAACTTATTGAAAGGTTAGCTCAAGCCGAACAACGTATTTCAGCTGTAGAGGAATGTGAATGTCAAAAGAACTGTTTTGTTAATGGATCTATACATAGAGATGGGGCTACATGGAAACATAATTGTGATATATGTAATTGTGTGCGAGGAGTTTTAAAATGCAGTCCTATTAAATGTGATCCTTCTCAATGTAAGAATCCTGTAATTTTAAAAGATGATCCATGTTGTCCAGTTTGTCGTAAAAATTGCTTACTAGAAGGAATTGAATATGATGATGGAGAAACATTCACTCGTGGGGATGGTTGCACAGTTTGTACATGTGAAGATGGTACCATCTCATGTAGAAGAGAGACTGTTTGTCCAGAATTGACTTGTCCAGAAAGTCAGCAGTATAAAGCTGCAGATGAATGTTGTAGATATTGCAATGGAACGGACTTCTGTTCTCAAGGACATAAATGTCATGTTAATGCTACATGTACAAATCTTAAAACAAAATATATTTGTCAATGTAATAGTGGATATCAAGGAAATGGAACTACCTGTGATGATGTTGATGAATGCAAGACTGAAGGAGGATATTATGGCCATCAGTGCAGAGTGAATACAACATGTGTTAACATTCCAGGTTCTTATGTCTGTGAATAAGTTATAAAAAGTGCCACTAAGGTTATAAAAATGATACTAATAATTTTGAAATAAAAATAATATTAAATGAAATTTATTTGTTTGTATACTTTACAATTACTTTAAAACCTACACCAATGAGTTCTGTCAATTCGCTGATTATATTTTAAGTGTGTAAGTGGGCGACTTGTGTGTGAACATTCAGAATTACCGTCGTTTTCGGATTAATATAGCTCTTTACATTCTGTAATAAAATCACGTAATTGAAGAAAAGAGTTTTCGGGCACTATAATTTTTAATTGTGTAGCAGTGGCGTGCCGTCATTAGAAGCGTTGGAAGCGCCGCTTCCCTCGTATTCTCTAAAAAATAAATAAATATTAATTTTAATTATATGAAAATAATCGCACAATATTTTGTTATAACCGCATTATGTATCTTATTACAAATTTCTATACTACACGTGGAAAAAAAAAATGCTATTGTATATTAGAATATTAGTGGCGGAGTGGAATCTCCTGTATTTTCAGATTACGAAAAGCCAGATTTGCGCATGCGCTTTACAGAGCACCAACCTCACCCGGTTTAGCCGGTGGAAGCCTACGACCTTGGGTGAAAGCTGCACACATATAAAGATTCCAATTCTATCAAGGGCCGGTTCTGGGCTGTTAGCCGCCTGTTCACTAGATATTTCGATTACGTGAATAACGAGTAGATTTATAACTTAACCCAACCGATAAGAATTTACTGGTATGTTTTTACGATAATTCCGTATAGTTGACAGGAGTTAAAAAATCCATTAAAATATTTGATATATTTATTCCGTTCTCCGATTTTATATTACGGATTTCAATGTTAAACCAGTTATATTACGATTTCGTACATCTCATCTTTAAGGGGATGTAGAAAAAACGTGTACAATTCTTGTATAATGTTAAAAAGTTAACCGTTACTTCGACAGCGTCATTTACAACTAAATTTAATGAATGAGAGAGATGCACCAGGTACAGAAAAGGCTCTAGAATTTATTTCCCTTAAATTTACGATTTATGTATCCGTTGTGGTAAAAATTTGTCTTACAACTTTTTCCCCGAGACTACAAATATTCTCGTACAAAGTAACTGGTTTCGACTTATTTCTACTTAAGAAGTAGTTAAATAATTAAGCGATTAGGGAATTGGGGACGTAAACAAAACCCTAGTGAAAGAGCCGAAATTTTACTTAAACAAAAGCTTAACCGAACCATCTCTAGCCGAGTGCAGTGGAAACTGATTTCTTCGTATTATTAATGTAATAAAGACAGAAATTTTTCCAGTTTAATTAAAGTAACCGAAAAGTTGTAAATTTTGGGAATTTCCGTGGACACCTGGTCTTAAAACGGATTACAGTAGTTAGAAAACAAATGACTTTTAAGTTTAACTAATTTAGATTTTTACAACTATGATGAGAAACGTTTAAAATTTACAACAACCTTGTCGCGTCGTTTGAGATATACTAGTGATAAGACAAAGAAGACATTAACCGGTATCAGCACCCTGGGGATTTGGCAAGCATGCACCGCCCGCACACCTACGAAGACCGTCTCTGATTCCATCCACGAGCCACTGGTAGGGAGCAATTTTAACTAGGTGGATTGTTTTGATATTTAAAAAGTAAAGACTATTTTATGTTATTTTTATGTACGTTTCTTTACAAAACTATATTTATGATTTTCTGTAAAAGTATATTCGTACAATTGAATATTTTCTATCAGGTATGTATAATTGTATATNATCGCGGGAAATCTTGTAAGCTTGTTTCGTGTTTAATAAACGGTTGTGTTGTTTGTAAACGAAGCATCTATCTCTGACTCAACTGCTCCCACATGTTGATTGTTACCGCTCGGTAGTCCAGACGGCAAGGGAGACGATGACGATATATATCACCTATTATCGTTCATCGTGTTTTTTTATTTCTACCCCCTCGGTCCCCACAATAATTTTCGACGCGTCGGAAAGGCCCAGAACAAAAAAATATTTTATAAAAGAACCCTCACCACTTACCAACTATTAAGATCTGATAAGGATGTAGTGGACAGAAGAACACTCCCCGGTGTATATAAAATTTCGGTTACGGACTCAAGGCGACGTAGTAAATTAATGTATATAGGGGCAACAGGAAGATGTATCAAAGACAGGTTAGCAGAACATCAAGCAAATATAAGAAAAANTTAAAAGCTAGGAGTCAACTTGCAAGCCTTTAAGTTAGAGTGGTAAACAAATGAAATGATGCTTATAACAGTTGCTGTACACTGCTTCTCATAACTCCAGTGATTGTCACAAATATTCAAACTAATAAGTTGTAAAATTTGTGTTTGATGAACTTAATTAACATGAAGATTAATGTATTAAAAATTTAGTGTAAATGAATTCTACAACATATATTGTTTCCAACAACCAATGGCCAATCATACATCACTTATGCCAGCATTTCTCAACCTTTGAGTCCAAGGACTAGTAAAGTCTGAAAAAATTCTATGGACCACTAAGTCACATAGGCCCAATTTGTTTTTAACCTAAGTGAGTATTATTACCATTTGATATATACTGTGTCATTTATAATGTAAATATGTTCAGATTGCTAAAAAGGTTTAGGAGTTTGGGGAATCTTTCACTCCTCTGTAAGGAAGATGAAATTATAGAGGAGTATGAGATCCTAGTTTTTAATAAAATACAAGCCTTTTACCTCTGACCTTTTAATAAAAAGTAGACACTTAAGGTTTAAAAAATTAAGATGCAGATCTTAACCTTTTAAACTTTTGATATAATATTCGTCCCTGACCATTGATTTTTGATCAAATAATTTCACCTGTTTATACTTGGACTTATAGAGGGCTTTGGACTTTTATTAAAAGTCCAAGACCCTCTATTATTACGAGTAGTTAAAAAAATATACCAAATGGGAAACGACGAAGTTCCAGAGTCGGTATTATTTATCTGCGGTCGATTCAAAAAGTCATTTTCTGATTTTGTCAAGTATTAATTGATGATGATTATTTTTGAGTCCCCGAATAACGAAACCTAACCCGCAATTCGCATTTTCTTTCAGTTCGGTTCTCATATATATGGTGGCTTCGATGCACTCCTTGATTATGTCTAGTTTTTCGTGGATACATTCTTCGAAATCTTAAATATTTCCGCTCTCGACTGTCTTTTCTACACTAGCCTTTCTATCACTTGTGCAGTTTAGGGGGTACGGCTGTCTCGATGTAAATAAATATAATTCAATTTTGTTTAAGACATGAAAGAGATTAGGCATTTAAAAGCAGAGCAGAATTATTAGTTGTATATTGCATTGTTATACGTTATTATATGTTGATTTTATTTAATATTTAGAATGGAATGATGTTTTACTATTTCTATTAATGATGTGTCGGAAGTTCAGCGAATTCTTCGCAAAAAAAAAAAAATAATTTATCAGGAAGTACGCGAGCGCCATTCGATGACAAGCTCCACAATGAAAACAAGCTTAAGCAATGGCATCGTCGAACAGTGCACACTCGGTAAGTAATCCTACAATTTTTTGTTTATAGCATAGTTTATATGGATTATTCCCAAAAAATTATACATGTTTTGGAAATGTTGAGTCGAATTAGTTTAGAATTGATTAATTTTATGGAAGAAACCTTTCAAACAGTCGTAGTCCATAAACTGTATACATGCTGGGCTACAACTATATTCCAATGCAAACTGAAAGTCACATTATT